AGCATTCTTGAACCTATATTGTATAACATTATTACTTCGGACCTCCCTGATTTGCCTCAGGGTTGCCACAAATTTTTGTTCGCTGATGACACAGGCATTTCCGCTAAAGGAATAAGTCTCCGTGTTATTTGCAGCAGACTGCAGAAAAGTTTAGATATTTTCTCTTCTTATTTACCAAACTGGATGATTTCTCCCAACGCTTCCAAAACTCAACTTATAATATTTCCGCATAAACCTAGAACTTCCTTTTTGAAACCTAGTAGTAGCCACATATTCACTTTGAACGGAGTTCCAATTTCCTGGTCAAACCAAGTGAAATATTTTGGGTTAGTACTTGACCAAAAATTAACTTTTAAAGATCACATTGAGGACATTCAAGCCAAATGTAACAAATAGAGGAAATGGCTCTAATGTTGGCGTATGGATCTAAGATTGGGTCCATGGCTAAAAATCTGCTATTTATCAGTTTTATCTAGATGAACGCGTCATTGGGACGGTACTAATGGATATTTTTGGTCATTATTGAAAATTTAGTCGATTTCTGAATTTATGTATGGGCCCTAATTAGGGGCATTTAGGCCGACATTACATCCATTTTCCCTATAAAAAAACTGTTTGTATCCTCTTATAAACAGGAAATCCAAACGTTGCCTGACGAATTCTAATATTTAAACAAGTGTTTAGACCGGCCATGCTTTACGCTGTGTCAATATGCCCAAGTAACAATAAGGGTTTTATGAGGGTTCTGTATACTATGAATTAGACTTGTAGCATGCTTTAAAACCGTGATAAAACTTGCAATGTTACTTGGGTGGTCTAGTTGTTGCACTACCTGGAAAAAGCACTTCAAAGGATTCAGAACAAAGTTCAGAAGTTGGTTTTTAAGTTGCCTCCTTGCCCAAGTAACAATTCTACAATCATTTGGCATCCACTCTGATTTACGATGGTTTTATAATGGCAATGAATAATCCATTTATTTTAAATGCAGCATTTCACAGTGTAAAACGTTCCTGCTTAGTAGTTCACCTTTTCGATGTTTTAAAAACTTTTACAGTCTGACGAGAAGTCAAAAACTGTCTTGTTTCAAAATTAAATTTTAAGTAGTTCGCAATCCCACAAAAAAAAAGCAAACATAAAACCATTAGGTTTTAATGAGACCAAATGCATATATTGTTGCCTTTTAGGCTTTTAAAAGTGTATCATAAAATCTCCACTGTTTACAAATTGTATTTTACGGATGGATCCTTACAGTGAATAAAAATCAAATCTATGACAAGAATATCTCGAAGGATAAACGAAGTTGGAGGAAAAATTCAAGCGATGCTAACGACCGAAGGGAAGTCGATTTCACTAAAATTTAGTTCTTTAGAAGAACCAGCACGTCCGGGGGAACGGGTACCATCAACGACTGAGCATCTGGTGGAGAAGAGTGAAGTGAGCGTGGTCCTCACCTTCATAAAACATTGTCAAAACAGTCTGAAAACAGACCAGCTTTCTCCAGACCTTACGAATAGATGAAAATCGCAATAACTTGTGTCAGTACCGATAGCAAACAACTGAAACTGTCAGTAAGCGGACACTAGTTGGTTTCCGACCATAGCTGCGATTTTATTCGGCGAAAGGGTCATCACTTGGAAAAAAAAATCATTCAACCGTACATTCTTGCATCGTTTGATGGTGCACTTCCAGAACCATCCGGAAGATGGGGATCTTTTCGGGAATGATCGAGTTTACAGCTGTGCGAAATACGAAATGTTGTGAACACTTTCTGAGTAACTGCTTCCATGCCATCGCCTGGAAGAACGCTGAATCGCACAGCGCAACTATCGAAAGATAAACAAACTTTGACGTTTAACATTTTGTAGGCAACATTGCCGCCATAAATGCTGCCATAAATCTGAACGGGCTAGGATCAAGCAAAATGGCTTTAGATAAATACAATTCAGTCTACAAGTTTCCTTCATAAAAGCCATTTCAAAACCTTATGAATTTGTTAAGGATTTCTTGAAGGCAAAATAACTTTTTCACAAATGGCCCATGAAAATCAACTTTTATGCCTCCGCCATATTACAATTATTTTGATTGTTTTTTACAATCTTCGATTTTCAATCTATATTTCCTTGGATATATCTTTATTTTAGTTAATTTAGCAATGAGAAAATATTTAGAACGCAAAAATCATGAGAAACAAAAATCTCGGCTAAGCTTAATGATCGGTCTGAATAAAATTTTTTTTTTCTTAATGTAAAATAATTTGTAAAATCGATGTTTTCCGTGGGCGAACTCAAGTTTTTCGATGTTTTCACGTACATTTCACATCAAATTTTATATGGCACATAAAACTTGGCCACTTCATGTGAACTATTTTAAAATTTTGGAAATTCGGCAGGATTTTTATACGATCAGTTTTTATTTTATTTATTTTGATAAGATCGAATCCTTTTTTATATTGATTGTTGTTTTTCTAGTGAACTTTGCAAGCAGCTAGGGTAAATGTAGCTTTTATTGTAGTCTAAATACGATTTTAAAATGGGTCTCAATGCATTTATCGTACTACCATTTTGTAGTAAATCAATCTTGAAGAGCTTCGATAATATACCCTTCAGAACCATCTCCAGGATGGGCCAACTAGACAGACTCTAGCATCAATGAGGTTTTGGTGGATGCATCAATGGCAAAGCAGTCTTGACCAGGGTTTTATGAATGTTGTTTTATAGTAGCTTTGTAGTATTTCATAAAACTTAAAATGTTACTTGGGTGGTACAGTACTACCGAGGTACATAGAATTTTGAATGTTGAGACTTTAGAACAAATGTCCAACAAAATAATTAATAATTTCAGGCAAAAATCGTCCTCAATTGCAACGATTAATTCCCTTTATACTTAGATAATATTTAGATTTAGTTTTTAGTTTTTAAGATGTATATTGTTATACTGACATGCAGGTTTAAAAAAAAAACCTGTTTAAAATACTGAATTGCCAAGACAGGAACAATGTAAAAACACTAAGATATATATCATAACTGTAGTAACTGGAGCACCTAGGTTAAAATGAAATGGACAAATAAAGAGTTAAAAAATGGATGTTCTATTAGTGATCAGGATCACAAGCGTGTCGTGAAAGCGTTTAAGCAAAATCGCAATGCTGCGGTAAGGGATGTGGCTAAAAATTTGAATCTGTCCAATTCTTTCGTTCAGAGAACCAAGGGCCGGGAGCGACTGCATACGTACAAAGTGCAGAAGGCTCCAAATCGTGACGAAGGTTAAAATACGGTGGGAAATTCACGGGTCCGGAATCTGTACACCCAGATGCTGACGAAGCCTCACTGTCTCATCATGGATGATGAGACCTACGTCAAGGCGGACTTCCGGCAGCTTCCGAGGCTACTGTTTTCACCGCCCAGCACAAGTTTGATGTTCCGGAGGAAGCAAGGAAGCAGAAACTTTCAAAGTTTGCCTAGAAATACATGATTTGGCAAGCGATCTGCTCATACAGCAAACGGAGTGCGCCATTCATGACTACCGGGACTGTAAACGGGGAGATCTACCTCAAGGAGTGTCTACAGAAGCGTCTGCTTTCTCTGTTGAAGCAACAAGAGGGCCCTACGATCTTCTGGCCGGATCTAGCTTCGTGCCACTATTCAAATGTTGTCCTGGAGTGGTACGAAGCTCCCAACGCACCAGAACTAAGGCCCATCGAAAAATACTGGGCTATTATGAAGCAGGCACTACGAAGGCATCCCAAAGAGGTCAAATCTGAGGAAGACATGAAGAAAAAGTGGGTTTCCGTACAGAAGAAGCTGCAGCCACATGTTGTACAGAACCTAATCGATGGAGTATGGTTATGGTATTGAAGTTAATTGAAATACGTATGCCAAAAGCTTACTAATAGGTTATATTTGATGTCTGAAAGTTTGAAAAGAATCGGTAAAAAAATTAATTTTCTACAGTGTTTTTTTTTTTCTGTGATGCAATTTGATGTGGGACACCCTTCAGAGCACTATTTTGACATAGGCGCCAATTTCCGTCATATTGAACAGTTTGGTACAATAGTTTAGTTCAAAAGCTACAAGCTCTATAAAAACGCAAAATATGAATATTTACATTCATTTGAAAACAATAGAAGCATTCCTAGTGCATAAATTTTTACTGCCATCATCCGTGAGCCGAAGTGAATCCAATGACGTTTCAATGTGTTTGGACGGAATTGAAACTCGTATGACGAAATAGAAATTAGTTAAATTTTCAAAAATATTTCAACAATTTGGGTCTCTTTATCAAATCCAACGGTTCGTATGGAAAGGTAAACAAATGTAAAACTCATATTTGATGAATAGAAACACTCCATTTTATGTTCAAACCCATGCGACAAATCCAAGTAAAGTGCAGATTGTGCTTAGTTTGGCGAAAATTAGACATTACCCCATACTTACCAAACACAGTTATCCAAATATTGTTTTCTTAAATTGAATTTCAACTTGCATAATCAGATGACCTATACGTTACCGATTTTTTGAACAACCCTAATGGCCGCTAACTGCATAATTTGCTCCACTCCTGTAGGTATCGATTTAAACGAACAACGGCCTCCGTCGTAGGCATAAACTAAGATGATCAGCAGTGTTAGAAACACCACATGAGGTAACTATTATTTTTGTTTTTTTTTTAGGTTATCCCAATACCTGGTGGGTAATTTCCCAATTTGTACGTGGTCATTATTAGGGGAAGATAGATTCGTAAATTGATATAGGCAGCTATAGCTAGAGTAGGTCCATCAACAGGCACTTGAGTTTCAATCAACCGTAGCTCAAATTTTGGTTCGTTAAATCGATTGATGAGTCGTTCTGTTTTTCCTGTGAAGCAGGTGAATTTCAGTGCTCTCAATATCCTCAATTGTAACCGTGATTGCCCGCATTTTTTAAAAGAGAAATGCTTATAAATTATGTATGGAAGAGATACGATTTATGATCAAAATAAATATTAAACAAACAGATACTTACTGATAAATCTAATGCTCTGGGTTCAGCATTCTCACACTGACTGGTTTTGATACTAACTAACACTAGCCATATTCCTGAAAAAGAGAAAAAGAAAGAAAGAAATCGTGAGCGATCACAGGCCTGTCATATAGTCGTTAGCGACCTTAACCAGTACATGTCGTCAAAACACTTTCGTGAAAATGTAGAAACTAGGTCTAGGCGTAGGGAAAATCGACCTTGCCCGAGAGTATTCATTGTAGAGATGAGCAGACAAATTCACACGGCCACTATCTGACTCTCTGGCTGGTCGTCGACGGTTGCCCCTGGTTGTTGTCGAAAGCAGATCGAAACGCAACTCTCTGCCGTTTCGACCACGTAGCGAGCGGTGAAAATTCCGAAATCATCCACGAGTCACTCGCAAAGTGTGCCATTATTATCGGAGATCGGAGACCCCCTTTAATCGTGGGAAACTACCACTGTGGGGGGCCCTTCGATGCAAAAAGTGGCAGGGAAATTTGGCTCATTTCCTTCCCGGCGCGCTGATTATCACCCATAATCATCTAATTAATCGATTGTTTTGGTCGCATGGCTAATTCAGTAGGGCAACCACACAGCCCCACCACGGATTAAAGGTAGACACCCAGCACAAACAACAACAACGCATAGGTGCTCATGTCGATCGCGGGAATGAAATATTAGTTTCGATTGAGCTGCTTTTCTTTTTCCGTCAGGGCTTAAACTGGTTCAGAATTCGAAAGTAGTAGTTTGTGCGCATGTCAACTCTGTTTAGACCTGTGCGCCGGTCATTATATTAGAGGTGGCGGCGGCGGGAGCCCATTTTTTGATTTACTATAGAGACTTTCAGCCTGGAGCTGGATCGTCTCTTAAAATTAACACGTTGAATTAATGCGTGTGACTTGATACAGACAACGCAATTTTTAATTTGGTGCTTTTTTAGTTCAATTTGGTAGGGTAGAGCACTACTTCGTCGTAGTCGCCCATTTCCGTTCTATCGATCAGAAAAGATCAATAATATCAATGATCAATGATGTGCAAAAATCATTAGAGTGCATTGTATGAATAATGACGCTCATTGTTCTCAAATAAAAAGAATCGCTCCTAGCGAATCTGGACAAACTTGCTTGTACGCTGTAGTTTATTGCAAAAACTGGCATTACATTTGTTGCATAAAACATATGCAAATGTAATAAATCTAACCTCACATTAGATGCAAGAGAAATTTGTTTTGCCTGTAATTTTCAACTAAATATCTCTACCATACCCTTCCCGTTACACCAAACAAAAAGGCAAGAGGCCGTTGTTATCAATACTCAAAAGTTTGAACCAGTCTAACGTTACTCTTCCCGTCGATTATTGAGCTTGCGTTTGCGTCTGGGACGAATCCATGCGACAACACAAAACGTGCCTGTGCTGGCAGCGTTCATGCCACACCGTGTGCCAATTATCGACGGCGAGGCAACAAATCTGTATCAAGCTGACACCCGATAATCGATGAGTTTCATGTTGTTTCCTGCCATCCGTCGCCGGTCGAACGAACGATGATCGCTCTCGCTCTGGGGTGCGTGCTGGACAAGCAAAAGCCTACCGGGCCTTTTTCGCGACTTTTGCTATCGTTTTCGATTAGAAACGCCGTCAGTTGATGTGACCAAAGTAATAGAATAACTCACTTGATATCAGAAAACCATTGAGAAACACAACCTCGGTTTCGATAAGCTTGGTCCATTTCGAACTGGTCAGAACTTACGATGCTTTTTATCAGATGCCTCTTGTTGGTTTTAACTCAGAATTGACAACCCAAGTTCCTGCCATAAACAAATTAAAATTCGTGATCTTTTGATCATATCTCGTGTCTTCATTCTTTTAATAAAATTCTCTCACATCTACCATTCTCCCGAATGCCACAAAAATGCATGCAGAAGATCGAGTCGTTGTTTTGATCTCCAGCTCCAGCCCCTTTGCCAAAACGTATATTGAAATGCAAAAGAAGACATTCCCCCAAAAACCCGTCCACCCGAGCAGAGAATCTGGAGGCGGAAACATAACTATGTCAAAGTGAGATCGGTGATGTCCCGGTGCTACCGGCACTCATCAACTTGGAATTATTAAGTGGAATTTTATTGGCCGGATGAATTTTCACTTTATGGGCTTAGATTTGTATAGCCAGTGTTTGAATGTGATAAGCAAGGCTATATTCGAAATTTATGACTAAATCTTCTCGAACGATTCTGCTTTATGAGCAGTTGGGCTTTGCATATTTAAGAATATATGCATCCTGTCCGGTATAGAAACTTTTCCAGGATGGAGAGATTGAATCAAGTTCTCCTTTGGAATTTTATGAAGCTTGTTCATTTGCTAAATTTTACAATACCTGGAACGTAGATTGGATAAACTATGCAGAACAACTTTGTCGAAGTCTGCAAATCGGCATTTAGCGGGGCACCCCTTGCTCAAGCTAGCTGAACACTAGGCCAAACATAGATGGTAAAAACTGTTTGCACAGAATTCTAATCAATTGGTGGTCTTCCTCGCAGTTCTTTTGAATAGTTTGTTTGCATCTTAGTTTCTCTCAATATCTCTGGATCCTGGCTGTATACATACAAACTTGCCGGTTTTGTCAATGTTGTTCAGGAGGCTAAGACTTTTAGAATTGTGAATTCATTAGTAGACTCTAGTGTCGCGGTGAACTTTGTGTACATACAGGATCAACATCTCAAGATCCTTACTGCATATAATGTTTTGCTGTTTTTGTTCATTAGGCTAATAGTACGTTCAGACTACAGAGTTATAACATGTTATAGCGCTTTCTTGATGGTGGTTTCTGTGTTACAATTATTTGACAACCGTTATAACATATTTTAGTTTAGTTCGATATTCGCTCAGTAGGCAGTACTAGTGTTCTGTAATGCATCGTCACATCTTTGTTAACTTATCATTTGCATGGATAATATATTAAAATATATCTCGATATATTCAAACCAATTCTTCCATCCAAACTTCGACCAGGAGGACTCTATGACATTTTTTTGTTATGATCAGAAAATTACTATAGAGAATCGCAACTTTTTTTCTGCTTCAACCATTGTGCTGTACCGGCAGGGTGGCCCGATTATCTTTTTCATTATCGGTAGCTTCTCAAAACTTTTATCGGTAGTTATCGGTAGGCCGTCTTAAGAAGGCTTCCCGAAACTTAAAACCTTTGTGAGCGGGGGAAGGATAAAAACAAATCACGCACAATTTTGAACTGTCGAGCCGAGCCATCAGTCCTTTAACCTCACACATTGGATTGTCTAATCAAGAGTCGGTGTATAATGAGTCACGCCAAAAGTGAAGTCAAGTCTACCTATTGAACTGTCAAACCGGTTGCCTATCGTGCAAAGCAAACAGGCATTACGATGCTATGCAAGGTCCACGCAAAATTTTATATCACATCAAAGTGGACGCACTTCAATTGTGTCAAAAATATGGTGTAATAGGGGAATTTACGTATTCTCGTCAATCTAAGCAGCGCACAGTGGTTGAAAAGTCCATTTTGACGCTCTTAATTAATAGCACCATGGAGAGCGGATTTAGAGTAAGGACGTCTTCAACAAAGTTGATGAATATGACATGCTTCATATTTTAAAGGCATGGGTTTTGTGATTAATCCCCCTAAAAGTGAAATGAAAAATTTATTTTTTCACAATGTCGAGATAAATGGTTGACGTTTTCAGCAAAATTGTAGCAAAAATGATTACAAACAACTTTGCTGAAGACATAAAAGTCCTAAATTTCACTCAAATCGAGATAGAGAGCGTTGTTTGAGGACGGACCCCAAAAAACACGTTTTTCATAAAAACATATATTTTATTTAATTTTAGGTCTTCACTATGTTCAACAAAGTTGATTGGTATACTAAAATATACATCTTTCTTGAACATACTATACCTGCATCATTTTAATAGGATGAGTTATTGATAAATTTTATTCTATTTTCCTCATATTTTGGCCTTGCGTATCTTTCTGAGGTGCAAAAAGGTGCAGATGAAATCAAATGCATCTAGAACTACATTAAAAGAGCTTTCAAATGGTGGTTAATTTGTCCGTCCACGACCGTTTGCTGGAGAGTTATGATCAAAACAAACACCCGTAGATAGGCTTTATAGAAGTCATGTCAACAACAAGGGGATAGTGTGTTTTATACCGCGTAATAAATTCGTTTCCATAGTAACCGACTCAAAACAAATTTCCTACTTCTCAGAGCTTATCAAATTCAAGAACGGCACATTTTCTTTCCAAAAATTGCCCAGAAGGCAAAACTGAAGCATCAAGAATGAAAAAAAAAAAACTGTCAAATTCAGTTAAACTTGTGAGTCGATAAGTGTTTTTCCATAGTGCTCATCACTGTTTTTCATCAAGCGTGAAGCAATTCTAGATGAAAATTTCAAAAGCTCTTATCTGCATTGATCGATTCTCTTCATCGACTTTCTCTTCCGTTATTAACTCAGCTTCAAAACCTTTCGCTATTGTATTTCACGTTTTGGATGCTAGATAAGAATCTCCTTTATTAAACTATGTTGAATAATTAGTGCAAAATCTGTTTGCATAACAGTGGTTATCAAAAGAGAAAGTTGATGAAGAGAATCGATCAAAGTAGATAGGACCATTTGAAATGTTTATCGAGAATTGTGAAAGTACAGGGTGATTCAGAATAAATGTCACCGATTTCACAAATATGCAATTCTCAATGGGTAAAATGGGTATATGTTCAAGTATTTTTGTTCTAAGTGTGTACAAATATCAGCTTGTATTGATAGTAGGATTTGAAATTTCATTCGTTTGTGATTTCAAGCAGCCATTGACGTCAAAATAGAGAATGGCATAAATCTTTAAAAAAATCGTGTGTTATCTTTTAGAAACTGAAATCTCCTCGAAAGAATGTAACATTTATTTTTGCATCATTATAGAGGTACAAAGGAACCATGCTTGGAAAATCCATTCAATATCAGAGCTTAAACGCATCACCAGGACTCAAAAAGTGCTGGAACTAAAGCGTGCGTGCCAGCTGTGGTTAATTTTCATGACAAATGTGGCTGAT